AGATAATGTGGGCCATCGTAAAACATTTGGTTTCTCAAAACAATACCTCATTTAAGGTGGATGATGTCATTAAACTGGCAGACCAAAAATTGGCTTCCATAACTGCAGAAGAATGGCAATGTAGGTGCCAACATGTAAGGAACATTCAGCAACAATTAATGTCATGGGAAGGCCTTTTGGACACAGGACGGGAGTTCATCTTCCATGTTGGCGGTGATAGTGACGACAGTTCTGATGATAGCTCCGATTCATCTGGTTGTGATGAGGAAGGACAGGCATGTGGAGATGATATCTATGTGGACATTGCCAGTGTTGCCCCTTTAGAATAGACCTGTGTAATATGTAAATAAACATTCATGTATATAAGAGTGAAAAGTGTATAATAGTGTATAGTGCCTAATAGTCTGCCATTCGGCACTTAAAACTTAACATCAGATGTGTGAACATCAGCGAGACTAAACCACCAACAGTACGCAACGCAATGAGGTAAGAAGTTATTTCCTTTTGAGAACGCATGTACTGTATTCCCCGCCACACTTGTTACCATGCTGGAGCTCTCCCCGCCACTACCAATACTTCTCCTACCCCATGTCAGCGGACTGTCAGATCTAAGTACTAGCACTCTACTGCCTCTAAGAAGAGTAAGCAGTGGCATTAAGTTCATCCGGGATATTGTTTCTGTCAGTAGATTGCTGAGTAATCTTTCAGAAAATGGGTTACATGCTTAAGAAAGTTGAAAACCAGTATGGTAGAGGCATGCCGATTTGCAAAGAACATGTCTGGATAATATGTGCATTCCGTTTGACTGTGTTGGCTTAAGCTTATTATATGAAACGTTATATTAATGACGTCATGATCTCAGCTGTTAGCATTCACTGAGCCTGTAGATTCTACAAAAGGAAAATGATAAAAGAGTAGCAAAAGTTCTGCTCTGTGGAAAGTGGAATTGGTCTACAAATGACACAGTAGAAAAAGAATCGCCATTATACATGGTTTTACTTGTGGTCTGTTCAAGGTGTTAAGATTTTTTATATGCTCTAATAATCTGTTCTATTTTATGGAAACAGTGTTGTGCATATGGAT